CTGAAGGTGCTTCCACGCTTGTCTCACCCACCAGACAGTGCGCTCTCCAGGATGGAGAAGTGTTTGACCCACCCCTGGCCGCGGCACCTGGCCTGCCCCTCTGTAGATGGTCTGGAGTTGTTTGCTGGCCTGAGAGCAACCTTTATGACAATTCACCCGTATTAAATGCCCACGATTCTGCTTGGTGGAGAAAAGGGAGATGAGCCTTCCAGAGCTCACGCTTGTGTCTATAACTCCTGTCTATCGGGGTCGCGTGCCATGAGTTCAAGGGCACCCGTCCCCACTCCTGACCCTGGTGCTGGGCTCAGTCCAAGAGGATACAGGGCGGCAGGTGAGAAGGGCCTCAGCCTGGGACCAGGTGGCCTGACCTGCCGCCCCCGCTGGGCGTGGCACCGCCATCCCTCCTCTGCCCCTGGGTCCCATCCACCTGAACACTCTTCCCCTTGCCGGGCGGGGGCTCCTGTGCTGGGTGGGAGCGACGGCAAGGCCAGGGCTTGCACACCAGCGCTGCCTTCACTGGACGTGTGCGGTGACTGTGGCTTCTCGGACCTTCAGCAGTGTCCTCATCTGTCAGGTGACAACACTAGCCGGGTCACACCTTAGGAAGGGGAATGGGTGGCTGTGGACGGGGCTTTGAAAAGGGACCGTTCCTTGTTGTTAAGATAAGGCCATGACTTCAGGGATGTCAAGAAGACGGCAAGGGGACAGCTCGGGTGGGGTCCCTCCACCAGCACAGCCCGGTTGCAGGGGCCTGTCCCCTGTCACATCAGCGTGGTTGAGTGGGGCCTGTCAGGAGAGCCTCTCCAGGCAGAGGGGGCTGAGGCCCCATTGGGCTTGCTGCTGGCAGAGTGGCCCAGGGCTGTCTCGCATGGGGGAGGGTGTCACACGCCCTGGCTCTGTCCTGGGGGCCTGGCTACCACAGGTCCCTGTTAATTCTCACCTGGTGACCGCCAAAAGCCTGGCTCCTCTGCTCTGGGACAACCTGTGGGTATTGTCCCTTCCCCAATACCTCATGTGAGGTGCATAAGCACACATGGGAATGCACACAGATTACACCCGGATATCCTGATGAACAGTCACAAATTGAACACACTCATCCACAGCATGTCCCTACTGCATGGAGCTGCTCACCTGTGCTCCAGAGCTGGGGTCCCATGGCCTCCGTCCCACCCCACCCCTCTGCTCCTGACACCCCCTTCCCTGGCCCTCTGCAGGGGCAGCTACTGCAAACGGCAGGAGGCCCCTCATGGTGAATGAGCTCAGAGTCAAATGGCTGGGCCCTGGGCCCCTGTCCACTGTCTTCGCAGGTCCTCCCAGCCCGCCTAGATCCCGCTAGATTCTCCCAGGCTGTCTCTGTGCCTTCCCAGGTCCTCCTAGATCCTCTCACTGCCCTTCCTGTGCCTCCCCAGCATCCTCCCAGCACCCACCCAGTACCCCCCATTACCCACCCCGAGGGTAGCTCTTTCCTGCTCAAGCTCATGACCTTGGCCTTCGCCCTGGAAGAGGACAGGCTCAGGCATCGCTACAGAATGAGTGAGGGTCCTGGGCACGGCAGCAGGCTCAGGCATCCGATCCTCCCTGGGTGGGCTCCCACCGTCCACTGGATAAAGACCTTCGATGGGCACTTGGGTTCAGAACGCTGCCCGACCTACGGGTTCAGCCTTCTCATGCCCGCCTGCCTCCACCTCACTGGCCCCAGCCCGGGGGTCTCCATACAGCCCCAGGGCCCCCTTTGCCTTCCCCAGACCCAGGTGCTTCTCCCAGCCTCACCTCCAAAGGTCTCCCGCCAGTGGGGTGCTGAGCTGCCTCCAGCTGACTGCTCTGTTTTCAGGAATTTGAAAGCCATCATTACATTTTAAATTACACCAACTTAGAATGAAATTAATTATATTAAGAACAAAGGTAATATATTGCCAGAACTCATCACTTCCTAATTATGTTGATTTTACTATTGTTTTACTATTATCTATGCTTTTGCAGTTATTTACAGCTATTGCATCTGTCAGGTGGGAATACCATACAATCTGGAATCACTGCTGCACATAGCTTCCCAGTTCCAGGTGCGAGAATTTACGCACCCCCACCGCGGCTCTGGGGTATGTTGTACCCAGCCCCTTGGGGTAACCGTGTTCACGTAGGAGGCTGCCCTGCACCCCCGGCCTTATGACCAGGAGGCTAGGCAGCTTGGGGGTTCTCCGCTGAGGGTTTTGTTCATTCGCCCCCCTAAACAGCCTCCGCCCCACAGCTCCGGAACACTGGCGAGGGAAAGCCGCACACACGACCAAGATGGGCTCTCCGCCTGTCCAGGGTCTGGGGCCTTGTTTAAAAAGACTTACAGAGGGCAGACGGCCGGGTAGCGTGGCCCTGCGCGCGCCTGAGCAGTGCCTGGCGTGTCTGCGCGGGGGTCCGGCACCGCGCCGAGGCGGACGGAGAGCGCCAAAGAGCTTGTCCGCGGGACCGAAGAGGGGTCCAGGCCCCTTGACCGCCATCTGTTTCCCTCGGGGCTCCCCACTCCCCTCCCAGAGATCCCGCTGCCCCTAGACAACGCCCCAGGGACTCTCCCCTTCTGACTGAGCCCAAGCTCCGGTTTCGGCGATAAAAGCCGGTCCAGCCTTGCGCACAGGCAGGCCCCGCTGCTCCGGAAGCTCAGGACGGGAGGCCGGGCGGACGGATCCCGCTCCCTCCACGTCCACGCAGCCTGCGGGGCCCCCGCTGGGCTCCTCTCCCGCGGCCACGCGCCCTCCGCTGCGCGCCGTCCCTCTCCGCCCAGGACCAGGATAGCCTCGCCCCTGGGGCCCCGCGAGAAAGACCTCGGACTGGACGCAGCCCCGGGGCGGGGAGAGGACCCCCAGTGTGTCTTGGGTTGGAAGTTGGGGACAGAAGCCGTCGCGGCCCTCGCGCGGGCAATTCCCGCGCGAGCCTGGGGTGTGCTAGCCCGGGGCGCGTTGGGCGAACTCCCGCGTGGAGACGCTGGCGGCTCGCCCGCTCCCTCCGCTTGGCGCCAGGCGGTGAGCCGCAGCGGGTCTCGCTCTCTGTGGCGGCCGAGCCGGGCCGCCGGGGGCAGGAACCCTGCACGCTCCCGGGGCTGCAGAGCGCGGAGCCGAGGACGGCCGCGTGTGGGCCGCGGGGTCCCTCTGGCGCCGGGAAGCGGAGGACCAAGGGCTCGCCGGACGTGCAGGGGCCGAGCCAGCTCCCGGCCCTCGCTCGGTTCAGGGAGGGTTCAAGGCTGAGACGCCGAGCAAACGCGGGCGACCGGGAGCCCCGGGGCAAGGGGTGGGGGGAGGTCATGGTTTCTCAAAAGGTTCTCCGTAAAGCTGGCTTCTCCCACCCGCGCCCTGGCGCGGCCTTTGGTCCCTCCGGGCTGGGGCCGCGGGGCAGGGACCCGCTCGCTGGCCACCAGCCCCCGCATCCAGCGCCCAGTCCGAGGCTGTGAGTGTCGGTGTCAGCGGGGCCCCTCCATCAAGACTCGAGCCCGGGCTCAGCCTGCCACCTCCAGCCCGACCTTGGGAGTCTTGGCGCCTCAGGTGCCTCCTCTGCACAGTGAGAGCTGGGAACGGACGACCCTCGAAGAGCCGTTTGCTCTGGCCGCCCAGGAGGGCCAGCGGCTCGGGCCCTGTCCGGTCCTCCAAACCTGGGCCAGAACCTGGATGGGAATCTGACACCCGAACCTGACAGCACCGCTGCCCAGAAAAAAAGGCGCGAATGTGTGAGTGTGTGTGTGGGGGGGTGACTATGAGTAAGAGGCCGTTACGTGCACTCCGCAGGTACAACGCCCCCCACCTACCAGGTCTGGCACCCCCTCCCCTGCGGGCCATCAGCAGAGCAGCGGGATGAGCTGGGGCGCATGGGGTACAGAAAGTCCAGCACACACAAGGACACACGCATGCACCCAGACACGCACACGCGACACACGCGGGCGTGCACATGCGCCTCCGCGCTGGGAAGGCGCCCTGGGAGAGCGGAGGGGTCGCCTGCGCGGCCACCTCGGAAGCTCGGCGGCTCGGCGCCTCCCCCGGGGCTTCAGGGAGCGTCCAGTCCGAGGCGCCGTCTGCCCGGAATCGGGCGGCTTGGCTGGCAGGAGAGGCTTGATCCGCTACGGCTGCCTCCGAGAAGTCCCCGCCCGCCCTGCCGGCACTGGAGGGGGGGGGGCTGTCATTCCCTGGGGACTTGGCTCTCAAAGCCCCGGAGCTTGGGGGGTGGGATAGGCGCGGAACTGGAAACCAGGTCCCGGGGAAGTTCCCAGACCCGGGGTGTAAGCAGCTTGTCAACCCCACGCGGATATCCAAGAAATGTGGGGCGACCCCCCTCTCTCTGAACTTGGAGGCGCCAGGAGGCTCCGCTCCCGGGTATCCCCTCCTGGCACGCGCGCGTCCACGATTTGGGTCCTTGGGGACCCGGGCAGCCTCGAGCTCTCTGGGCCCGGGGTCCTCAGGTGTCCGGTGCCGCCGAGCGAGTGGAACAGAACCCTGCCTCCCGGGCCCGCCGCGGGCCCGCCTGCGCTGAGCCGGGTGGGAGACGTGAGGACAGAGCGCAGGTGGCCCATCCTCGAGCCCAGGGCCGCGGCCTGGCCCACCTTACGCTCCCCATCCGCACCCCCCCCGCACCCCCCCCGCGCAGCTCAGCGCTTTCGGGGA